ACAGTGTGTGAATTAACAGCAAAGGTTTAAAGTGTTGAGTAACAAAAAGCAAGAATGAGGGACACAAAAACCGCCCATCCTTTCTCTTGGGGGTCTTGATTTCCATGCCAGCAGGGGCCAGCATTGTTTGTGGGTGTTTTTACAAACTTTCTGAAAAGGAAACTTGAATTACGGAAAGAAAGTTTTAGCTTTTGCCCCCCCTGTCTCTCCCAGCTGTTCTTATGACATCATGGGGATGGGGTGGTGATGTACACCTCCCCCGGTTGTGGTGGGCGGGGCGGTGATGTAAACACAGATAAAAGGTGGCATGCTGCCTGTTGGGGTCTCAGTCTGGAGGACCTGGTTTAAGCTTTCACTACAGGACGTGCTGCTGCAGGGTTTCTTCATTTAAACCCGGATACTGCTGCTTTTTTAAACCCACTACTGGCTCAGCTTCTCTGGATTCAAACTTTATAAGCGCCACTACCTCTCTGACTTTGTGTTTTTTGTCTGGGTTTTATTTATTTCCCTTCAGATTCTGCAATCAAACATGTTGCAAAGCTTCGCTCAGGCGCAAGATTGGCTTTACACGGAGCCGCTGCTCTTTGATGATGAATTCTGCCAGAGTTTGATGAAGGACCTCCAGTCCTTGCCGACACCGCCGCACTCCCCCCCATTGAAGACTGGGCTGGGTGGGAGTAAACCTCTGTCCAAGGAAGACCAGCTGAGCTATGTGTCGGACATCCTGCTGGAGGACCATGACATGCAGTTCAACTGGAACTGTGACTTCTTTCACTCTGATGATGCTGAGAAGGACGGCGGGCCCAGCCAGCCCTGCTCCCCTCTGGAGGAGGGTGGCGAGGACTGTCTGTGGCAGTGCCTGGCAGTAGACAGGAGCCTGGAGGAGAAGCTGGTCTCCACGGTGCTGGGTTCCAGCCCGCTGCTGTCTGACATTGACACCAGCATCTTTGAGGAGATCGCTGGCTCCACGCTGGATTGCCAGAACCTGATGGACACTCAGGAACCCAGTGAATCCACATCAGGCTACGGATCCACTGGGGGCGAGCTGTCCGCCTATTCATCCAGTGACTCTGGTGAGTTCACAACTTCATCCTCCTTTTACAGTCGTCATCATCATCTTCAGTCATATGACAGTTTAGCCAGTGATCCCTTATGGATCAAACGTTTGTCAGAATGCTGCCTTTTTTTTCTTTTTCTTTTAATGACACGGTGCTCGGATCAGGCTTTAATCTCATACCTGCCTTGTTGTTGTGCAGCTTATCAGTATAAACACTCCTTGCCCAGAATGATTGCAGTGGCATTTTATTTCTAATTCTTTGGCAATGTTTAGTGGTACTGAGCCAAAACTGTTCTTTGCACTCGGCTTATCTGGATGCCAGCCACCCACCTGTAATCTGTGGGAGCCTTTATGACTCCAAGATGCTGCTGAAGCGTGGGCGCGGTTTATGCCGTTGACTGATGAGGGTTTAGGACAGATAAATGGCTGTGTAATGTGACTCATGTTCACTGGCAACGGTTCCACCTTCATCTGTTAACTCCCAGTGAGTCGATATTACTGACTTGAGCCCTGCAGCGTTTCTGGCTATAAGCCTGACAGGAAGTGGCAGGCTGGCATTTATTGATTGTTCTTTTAACTTGACTCGCTGGTATAATATGTGAACTTTTTGAATTTATGTTGTAATTTCAGTTTTTTGAGAAAGCACTAATTATTCATTAGTAAGTGAACAGGTGTGTTTCATGCTCCAGTTTCACACTAAATGCTGTTTATACAGGCTGTTGTAATCTAAGAGCCACCTTCACTCATGAACAGTTTGCAAACATTTGTGAGCTTCTACATGGTTGACTGCTGTTCCTGTGTGTGTGTGTGTGTGTGTGTGTGTGTGTGTGTGTGTGAGAGCCCACATGGTTTACTGTGTACAGTATCTGGACTCTTGTTTTTGGTGTCAGCGCAGGTTGAAATGTTGTCCCGCCATCACAGACAGATAAAATTACATTCAGTGGCAGAAACTGTATCTAACCCTTCTTTGTTGTTTTCTTCCCGACAGAGGAGGAGATTGATGTCGTGACGGTGGTGCGGTGTCCCTCCAGCTCCTCCTCCCTGCCCTCATTAGCTGACCTGTCTGTCCGTCAGCAGAAGCAGGAAGAGGAGCAGCGGGAGCGGGCTCTCCAGCTTCACTTTGAGATCCAGCTGCAACACAACTATGCCGCACCCTGCCCCGCCTCCCCCCCACCTTCCTCCTCATCCAACAAACGTTCGAGAGGAAACGACAGCTCATCACGCTTCCACCACTCGTCTCGTAGCTCTTCTTCTTCATCATCATCATCATCATCATTGTCGTCATCGTCGAGGTACCACCACCACCACTCGTACCGGAACTCAACAGAAACAGAGGATGAGGAGGAGCGGCGGCGGACTCACAACGTGATGGAGCGCCAGCGACGGAATGAGCTGAAGAACTGCTTCATGCGCCTGCGTGACAACGTGCCGGAGTTGTCGCACAATGACAAGGCATCTAAGGTAGTGATCCTGAAGAAGGCCAGAGACTGCATCTACGACCTGGAGGACAAGTGCCACAGACTGCAAGCCAAGAGGGACAAACTTCGAGCCAGACAGGAAGAGCTGAAAGCCAGACTGGAGCAGTTCCACAGCTAATGGACCGGGGTTAAGCTTGGGGTGAAGCTTGGGGTGAAGCATGGCCTGCATCTGTAGGCGTTCAGAGACATCATGGATAAGTGTTGAAGCGGTGTACAGTGTCTGCGCTCGTTTGTGGTGTCAGTGCAGGTTGAAATGTCCCGCCATCACACTGCAGACAAAATTACATCCAGCGGCAGAAACACCTGTCTGTCCATCAGCAGAGGCAGGAAGAGGAGCAGCGGGAGCGGGCTCTCCAGCTTCACTTTGAGATCCAGCTGCAACACAACTGTGCCCCCCCCCACCTTCCTCCTCATCTAACAAATGCTTGAGGGAGCGACAGCTCATCACGCTTCCACCACTCTTCTCGCAGCTCTTCATAATCATAGAGGTACCACCACCACCACTCGTACCGGAACTCAACAGAAACGGAGGATGAGGAGGAGCGGTGGCGGACTCACAACGTGATGGAGCGCCAGCGACGGAATGAGCTGAAGAACTGCTTCATGCGCCTGCCGGAGTTGTCGCACAATGACAAGGCATCTAAGGTGGTGATCCTGAAGAAGGCCAGAGACTGCATCTACAAACTGGAGGACAAGTGCCACAGACTGCAAGCCAAGAGGGACAAACTTCGAGCCAGACAGGAAGAGCTGAAAGCCGGGCTGGAGCAGTTCTACAGCTAATGGACCGGGGTTAAGCTTGGCCTGCATCTGTAGGTGTTCAGAGAAATCATGAGTGGTGCTGACAGTGGATAAGTGAGGAAACAGTGTACAGATGGAGGGTGGCATATCATGCTGATACAAACGCACATTTCAAAGACTTTGTGGCAACAATAGGTTGGGACTGTGTAGTCACACACACACTGTCATAGACGAACACAATTCACAGTCATTGCCTCAGAGATCATAATTCTCTTTTCTTGACTGCTGACTGTTGTAGAATTTAGGAAGCTTTTTAAGTTGGAAATGAGGATGGAAAAAACAGATTGTATGTTCTTAGTTTGCCTGGATGCACACTGTAAGATGTGATCTCTTTAAACCGTTCCCTTATGTTATCCCATTCGGGAGTCTTGGCTTCAAAGATGCCACTTGATGGAGGTAAAAATGTCAAGAGGCAGGAGTTCCTGTTGGGTCAAATAATCCAAAGCCACCTGAGCTCAGTGGTCGAATGAAACTTGAATATTGTGTTTTCAGGATGTTTTGTAGCCATGCTAGTGGTCTCTCCACTTTCACAGGTGTTTGTAGGTGGCTTTGACCATGATTGGTCAACGGCACCTCTGCCATTTCCAGCTAAATTCTAATTTTGATACTATTTTAATTTGTCGATCAGGTTCTTCAGTGTGCATCCAGCCCTGTATTGCCTCAGGCTGCCCCTTGGGCCCAACACCACTCTGTAATCAGGTTAATGACAGTTAATACAGTTCAGGTCACCACCAGTTCCTTCACTTTAGTGTCTGTTTTCTTGTTGAAAAATGAAAACTATTTTGTATATATGTTTGTCATGTGTAACTTGTTCAGACTCAATGGTAGCCATATCAACCAACATTCAGGTTTTGAGGAGATTGAACTGGAAAGTGAACTAAGCTGTGAGCTGTTCTGTCATAACAAAGGTGGATAAAAGTTTATTCTTGCATGTCTGAAACAGAGTGACTGACCAATGGTGCCCTATTTAAATATTATTTAAAGATTGTGGTTAGAGGAAGTTGCACCAGCAGCAATATTGTCACAGGTTCATAGAGAAGCCATTTTATTAAATACTCATTGAAAAATTCTCAGCATTATTCTGAGACGACCATTAACTTGTGGAAAAGGCTTAAATGTCGTTGTGATTTGTTAGTCAGTGTACATGTGGGACTAGTGCTCGACATCTGGATGAGCGCACTTCAAATGTCCACCTGCTGAAATCATTAGGATCGAAATCAGGAGTCACAAAACGAATTAGTTTCACAGGTCAGTTGCACACTAAGCAGATGTGACACAAGCTTTTCAGTCTGTGATAATAATCAATTTTCCCGTTAAATAAATTTGTCCTGGACTTGAACCTTTAAATTGATGTGAACCAGTGACTTTGACCAACATTCCCATTTTCTAGAGATGGATGGATGTTGTCAACACCCTTGTGTGCCCATTTAAACTGATCGGTTTGATCACTTGCACACAAAGTAGCTGAAGAGAAAATAATATTTTAAAAAGGTAAAAACTAAGGCTGTACATGTTCACCAGGAGCCCATAGTAGCTGTTCAGTGTCAGGCATTTTGCTGAACCTGTACTTTGGGCTGGATCTAAAGTTTTAAAAGATCGATAATTGGGTTTAGGTTCATTATCCATTATCACCAGTGTCGGTATACTTTTATTTAATGGAAGGTGCAAACATTTGCTTGTTTGTGTAAATGTCTTAAAATGCATCATAGCTTTTATGAATAGTTGTTGTTCAGTCTGAGCATACTTGAAAATGGTTCATGTTGGAGAGTTTGCCTTCTGTTCAGAACTTTTGGTTTCCTTGTGTCATAGTCCGGTTAAACTTTGTCATCTTCTAAGTTCAGGTAGTTTTTTTTTTTTTTCAGCTGGGCTTTTCTTCCAAACATCTCCTGATATTTTTGTTTTTTACTTTTATCACAAGGAAGTGCAGTGAGGTGTTAATAACGCAGCAAGGGCTTTTTGTTTTGGTTTTTTTGTTCTTTAAAGCATGATAACCTACCTCCACCTGGCTTGTAAATACATTTTTGTAAACACATTTTTTAATTATACATATATTTTAAAAATATAAATATTTTTGTTTCATAAGTTATTTTATGTTTTTCTTTTAATTTTACATTAAATAAACTAGCACTTTTTTTAATGTAATTAAAAAAGTCAAATTCATAGATGTCTGTCTGGTTTATTACACACAGCCACTGAGTTTAAGGTGTAACATGCACTATATTGCCAAAAGTATTCACTCACCCATCCAGATCATTGAATTCAGGTGTTCCAACCACTTCCATGGTTACAGGTGTGTATATAATCAAACACCTAGGGATGCAGACCGCTTCTACAAACATTTGTGAAAGAATAGGTCGCTCTCAGTGAACTCCAGTCGTGAAATTTCACCACTACTAAATATTCCACAGTCAACTGTTAGTGGTATAACAAAGTGGAAGCGATTGAGAAGGACAGTAACTCAGCCACAAAGTGGTAGGCCACATAAAATCACAGTCAGTGGATGCTGAGACAGATAGTGCACAGAGGTGGCCAACTTTCTGCAGAGTCAATAGCTACAGACGTCCAAACTTCATGTGGCCTTCAGATTAGCTCAAAAACAGTGTATAGAGAGCTTCATGGAATGGGGCTCCATGGTCGAGCAGCTGCATCCAATCCTCACATCACCAAGTCCAATGCAAAGCGTCGGATGCAGTGGTGTAAAGCACACCGCCACTGGACTCTAGAGTAGTGGAGACGTGTTCTCTGTGATGAGTCACGCTTCTCTGTCTGGATATTCAAAGGATGAGTCTGGGTTTGGTGGTTGCCAGGAGAACGGGTACTAGTCTTAACTGCATTGTGCCAAGTGTAAAGTTTTGTATAATAGTGATTGTTTAAATAAAAGGGTGAAGTAAGAGTACAGGCCTGTTTTTATATCTGCCACTCCTAAAGAAGCTCCAGACCTTTTAATAAAGTTGCCTTATAAGAATTGATGGGATCTGCAGAGACTCAAAAAGCTTCTAAATCACATGACTTCACCCAAACTGTTCAGTCTGATTATACAAAAAAACCACAGCAGTGTGTTAAGACTATAGGAGCGTTAATTTAGTTTTTATAAATGCAGAGCATTGTGTTTGTCTGAGCCTCTTCCTTTGTGCTGGTTTAAAGGCCCTGCGCACCCATGCTTTACATTTCTGGATTGTTTTACCTCTTTTAGAAAACTTAAAGGCTTGATGGAAGTGCACAGACTTGACTGATGTTTCTCCTATTGAGATGGAAACCAGACATATTTACCAGCATAGTGGTTCAACCCAGCTTCAGTGTGATCAGTGGGCTGATCAACCATAGGTGAAAGCACCTGTGTGGGTGTGAAGTGACCCCTACCTTGTGTGAGTCTGCTGTAGTGGTACAGGTTATGGTAATTTTGGAAGGCAAAACTTACTCATGTAATGTGCTGGTGAGCACAAGAAACAGGAAATATCAGCATCATTGTAAACTATCCACCTTCTTAACAGGTTGTGGAGGAAGTTCCCAGATTCCATACCCATTCATATACACACTCCCATTATTGTGCACAAGCTGAAAAATAAAGCACCCAATGTTCTAAAATGTTATTGTTCATCAACCCTTTTGATAACACTACTAATCCTGGTCTCAATTGAAAGGTAACCCTAAGTCTTTACAACCAAAAAAAATCAAAATAAGTGACAATGAAACAAAGTTACCGTGGTACAAAGATGCTAGAAAAATGTGTGTGTGTGTGTGTGTGTGTAATACACTTTGGGGTAACATACACATGTCTGAACAACTACTTTATCAAAGTAGTTGATGATGGCATTAAATATGAGCTGTTTGAGGTCTACCTGGGAATAAAAAACTCAAAATGTCTGCCAAAAATATTTTGTTACTGTACTTGATATATTTGTACAAATAAATATAACAGAGTAAAGTACTCATTAAAAGTGCTTATTTCTCAAAAATGATGAAATTAAACAACAATTTACTACCTACTCTGTAGCCTTCAAAGGAGTAACACCTGAAAGGTCCTTTAACAGGGTAGGAAACCTCCACCTGCCTTTCCTGTGCGTTTTGAACTCGTAATTCCATTGGCTACCAAGCTTGTCAATCATTCTGTCAAAGCCCGTGAGTGGTCACAACAACGTTGAGAAGAAGTTAGGTTGTAGCTCACCAGGTTGCTTGGCTGAGTCCGTTGATTGACGTGCTGTCTGACCAATGGGAGAGCAGTGTGCATGTAAAAGAGGCGTGTTTATTTGTGAAGGCAGGTGAACAGTACAACATGGTGTCTGCTGATGGAAATTGCAAGGAGAACTAGTCTGGTTTTGGGACTTTTTCGCCATGACAGTATGTTTGTTGGACTAACGCCTGGGTGGACTTGTTCACTGGATTCTTGTGATTCAAATGAAGGCCAGCTTTGACCACTTGGAGACTCATCTTACACCAGAAAAAGGTAGGGAGCGACTTATCTGTTGTGTATGTGCTACAGGCCTGTTGCTGAAAAATGAAAACAGCTGTCACATTGATATAGAGATTGTAAAGTGCCTTACATAGTGTGAGGCTTAGAGCTTTCTAATAGCATATAGTATGTTGTAGCTGTGTTTAGATTAAGTCCGGAAGAGGAA